CATCTTGAACCAGTCTGGCCATTCTCCTCTGACCTCTGGCACACACAGCACATTAATGTTTTTGTCAGACCACTTAATATCTGTCCTCAAATAAATTAAGATGCCGGCAATTTTCTTTTTGCAGTTTTATTATATTAACTGTGGTACAGAAGAAAAGAACAACAACTTCCCACATTTTCTTGTAAACCTCTGAAAGTGCACAACGGCTTTTCTTTGTGTGCATTGTTGGGTCCACTGGAAATTTTGGACATAAAATCTCTTTGAGTTCAGCACCTTTCATTTCCCCACAGGTTCTAACAGTCAACACAGCAATACTGCAATGACAACGGTACCTAAAAAATGTAACAAACATAACAACTAAATCAATATAACAAGTAATCCATCGGCAGAGAGTAAGTAAAAGTAAAGAACAGACGACATGTGACAAGAAAAACTAAAATGATTTAACCCCAACACAAAGCTACTCATGCAGACGACAGTTATTTCTTTTGTTGCAAACAGTTTTTTTGCCTTTTTTTGTTTTTTGCTGTATAGTAACATCAGTAGATAAAAAAAAAAATACAGAAAGTTTAGTTCTCTGGCTGATAAAGACGTTAAAGTGAGAACAATCAAAAGGACTAACTCCAAAGGAAACGGGCTCTCTCATGTCCAAAGGCGGTTAGGATTACCTTTAAACTTATCAGTGATAAATAACTTGCTATTCATAAGAAATCTGCGATGCTACTCTGCTACCTTTCTAAATATATAAGCTTCTTCTTCCTTGCTTTATAAAGCTAACTGAAGGCCTTAGACATTCTAAGGTTTTGCCCTTTTCTCCCTGTGGACTCCTTCCACAATAACATGAGTCAAATTTACAGCGTAAGGATCACTATTAGGTTCAGACATGGGTCGCTCTAACACTGGTTTTCCGGTTTGAAACTGTAGGTATTCAAAGAAGGGCGTATTTTTTTATCACAAAGGATGCAGGTCACATTAAATGTCTCTTGCATGGTGCCTACACTGCAGTGCCGTCACTGCTAAATGTAGTGACAAAAACTACATTTACAATATAACAAAGGTAACCCCAATTATTGGAGCACACTGGCCTGAGCGAAGCAGTTGCACTGCCTAGCTGCTGTAGTACCTCCTTAGCTTTAGCTACTTCTAGAAGCAAAAAGACTCCTTAGACGGCGCAAGCCAAAGTTTGGTTTCAGTTGGAGGCGGTGGAGTCCTGAGCGGTGTCCTGAGGAGGGTTTGCTGCTGGTGGTGGCGGGCTGATGTTGCTGAATATCAGCTTCTTGATGATATCCGCGTAGAAAGGTCCATAGACTGCCTTGTTGTAGTTCACCAGGGAGACAAACTTTGCTCCCAACAATGCTAGTTCGGGCTTGATGGCGGTCAAGCCAGCTGGTACTTGTTCAAGTTTAGCTTGGGGCTTGGGATCACAGATGAGTGCCATGAAGTACTGATGCACACGATCCTCTGCACACAGAGAGAACAAGAGAAAATAGCAGGTTAGAAAATGCCAAACAAACCTCAATGTCTCAGTAAAAGAAGAATTTGGGGCACTCTACTCTCAAATGATATGAAAACATTTTTACAATCTGGCACAAGTCTTACCAACGAGAGTGCGGATGGGATTGTCCTCCTGAGTGATGCTGCAGATCTGGCCTCTGAGGGTGGCCTGCAGCGCCGGGCTCAGCGTAGGATAGTTCCTCTCTGTCAATGACTTGTTGAGCTCACAGCAGATCTGAGCACTGACGCCCTCTAGTGCCTCTTCTAGGTTAAAGTCCCTACACATAGAAGGAGAGGAGAATTCTCATTTAGGCTCCTATTTAACGTAAAGAAGATCAGGAATAACTCTGGAAACCCATTTCTACTCATATAATGAAAAAACAGATCTTATAAGTCATTATAATGAGAAACTTCTCAAAGAAATTAGTTAGTATTTTCAAATAACGAGAAGCTTCCTTAAAAATGATGACTTACTTATCTCAATTGAATGACACAGTATCTAAAAAAATTAGTCTCTTAAAGTAATTAGCATCTCAAAATAATGAGTGTATTTATATTTTTATTATGTCATCATTAAATAATATTATAAACAATTACTCAGTATCTTAAAGTTGTAAGTTAGTAACTTAAAATAAGAAACTCTCAAAAATAATGATTTAATATCTCAAAATAATGAGTATATTTACATTTTTATTATGTTACCATTAAATAATATTACTATAAACGATTACTCAGTATCTCAAAGTTATGAGTTAGTAACTTAAAATAATAAGAAACTCTCAAAATAATGTCTTTATATCTCAAAATTATGAGTTAGTGTAATTCTAAAAATATGAGTATTTCAAAATAATGAGTATATTTCAAAATAATGACTTTGTATCTCAAAATAATGAGTTAGTATCTCAAAAATAATGAGTATATTTCAAAATAATGAGTTTGTATCTCAAAATAATGAGTATATTTCAAAATAATGAGTTTGTATCTCAAAATAATGAGTTAGTATCTCAAAATAATGAGTTTATATCTCAAAATACTGTGAGTTAATATCTCAAAATAACGAGTTAGTATCTCAAAATAATGAGTTAGTATCTCAAACATAATGCATTAGTACCTCAAAATAATGAGTTCATATCTCAAAATAATGAGTACATTTCAAATTAATGACTTTGTATCTCAAAATAATGAGTATATTTCAAAATAATGAGTTAGTATCTCAAAATAATGAGTTAATATCTCTAAATAATGAGTTAGTATCTCAAAATAATTAGTTAATATCTCTAAATAATGAGTTAGTATCTCAAAAATAATGAGTTAGTATCTCAAAAATAATACATTAGTATCTCATAATAATGAGTTCATATCTCAAAATAATAAGTATACTTCAAAATAATGAGTTAGTATCTCAAAATAATGAGTAAGTATCTCAAAACTAGAAAAGCACTGAGAGAGTGCAGACCTCCGCCAAGTAGGTGATATTCCCTCCCCCTCATGTTCCCCCCCTTACGTTAGCTAATCGCTAACATTAGGTAATCACTAACGTTTAGCTAACTTTCACTAACTGCTAACGTTTGTCAATCACTAACGTTATGCTACCTTTTGTAATGGCAGGAATAAACACACCTGTAGGAAAGAAATAGGCAACACTGCCGTTTATGGCTGTTTAAAAATGTGCTGGCTCTAGTACCAGCTGAAGATGTTGTCAATGTAATCGCTAACATTAGCTAATTGCTAACGTTTAGCTAACTTTCACTAACCACTAATGTTTGTCAATCGCTAACATTATGTGCGTGACCAAAACATCAAGTTGGGAGGCACTTTTAATCAACAGCAGTGTCTTGTACATACCGTGTCATTGAGTCAGGAAAACCCCTATTCAGTCAGACGATAGACTTTATGTATTCATTGAGTCAGGAAAACCCCCATTCAGTCAGACGATAGACTTTATGTATTCATTGAGTCAGGAAAACCCCCATTCAGTCAGACGATAGACTTTATGTATTCCTGACAGGCCCAAGTAGGCCTACTCGCCACTGCCAACCGGTGGCGCACGTCTGGTCTGAGTCTATTCTAAAACTTGGTGAATACACAGTGCTATTTAGCGCTATTTTATTATTTTATCCACTTCGCTTCAACCAATCACCACCAAAATTTTATCATCTGTTCCTTGTCCTATTATCCACCTTTCCTGAAAATTTATTCAAAATCCGTTCATAACTTTTTGAGTTATTTTGCAGACAAACAAACAGACAAACAGACCAACGCCGGCAAAAACATAACCTCCTTGGCGGAGGTAATAATGACTTAGTATCTCAAAATAATGAGTATATTTCAAAATAATGAGTTAGTATCTCAAAATAATGAGTATATCTAAAAAATAATGAGTTAGTATCTCAAAATAATGAGTTAATATCTCAAAAATAATGAGTTAGTATCTCAAAATAATGAGTTAATATCTCAAAATAATGAGTATCTCAAAATAATGAGTATACAATATCTCACATTAGTGAGTACACCCCTCCCGTTTTTGCAAATATTTCATTATATCTTTTCATGGACAACACTACAGAAATGACACTTTGATATAACTTAAACTAGTCAGTGTACACTTGTATAGTAGTATAGATTTATCTTCCTCTGAAAATTACTAAAAACACAGCCATCAACATCTAAACAGCTGGCAACATAAGTGAGTACACCCCACAGTGAA